TGGCTGCGCCCTCTGGCCCGGCAAAAGTCCACAGCTCAGCCCACCTTTCTCTTCACCTACTCCGTTTGTTCCCCAGCCACCGTGCACAGTCCGTGCAGCCCCCCTGGCTGGCAGGGTGATTTTTAGGTTAATTCTTAAGTCCTACCACCACAGGAATCTGCGGGAGCGCTGTCTCTTTAAATATATGGATCATTATTATTCCTTTCAATTTATGGATGAAGAATCTGAGAGTCAAGGAGTTTAAGTAGGTTTCCCCACCTGGTATGTGGTAGAGCTGGGTTAGAAAAATAAATGGTTTTACCTCCTTCCTCTACACCACAGTACCATGTATATTTGACTAGTAATTAAAAAGATGCAATTGTATGTGGAACAGAACTCAAATTCTTAAAGTCCAGACTTCCTGGAATGGGTTGAGATGAGAGAACTTCTTGAGACTATTGCCTTGAGATGATCTATAAATCTTGAACTGAAACTACCCTCTGAGGTTACCTTTTAGCTAAATAAAAGATTAGCTCATAAAATAAAGAATATTACCAGTGAGTACTGCACACTTTCAAAAAACTATCTATATGCAAACAAATGGTCAACAATTACTCGAAAGCAAAGATGAAAGGGTCAGGGGACAGGGAAATCAGATTACTGGGAACAAAACATCCAGAATGGAATTAATGAGAATATTGACACCTGGTAGAAAATGTGACCAATGTCACTGAACAATTTGTATAGTAATTGCTAAATGGGAGCCTAATTTGCTATATAAACTTTCACTGAAAACAAATATATTTTAAAAATGACTAAGATAATAAGAAAACAGAATGATGAAATTGCCTAGAAAGATGATACAATAGTGAAAAAAAAAATACTATTGTAACATCCCTCAGGTTCCTAATTGTGTTGCCCGAAGTATTGCACCATCTTTTAAGAAAATACAAAAGGAAGAATTCTGAAGACACCAAAAAAAAGAAAAGAAAATAGATGCAATTTTAAACGAGAATTTCTGGTTTTAGGAATGAGCAGTGGATTTCTTATGCGGACTGGGAGAGAGGATTTGGAATTTTCTCAAAACACTTGGATTAATACCATAAAGGCAACCACAAGCTTTGTTCAGTCCTTGGGACATGATCTTTAGCCCCTTGGAGTCTGTACCTCCTGGGCATTTCGCTACCTCTCTTCTGACTGTTTTTAACGTGCCTCACATAGGGAGTAGACAGACTGTCTCTGGGCATGGTGTGAGTGGTGTATCCCTAGGAGGGCACTGGGCTTTTTGTTTAGGGAAACTGCTACGCTCCCTGCTCTCTCCATCCCGGCCCTCCCTCCAGGACACAGTCACACACACATGGCATTTGTTTCACTTTTGACCTTTAATGTAAAAGAACAAACATCACAGACATTTTGAATAATCAGACACAGCTCAGGTCCTGGAGTTGCTCAAACAACATTCCAGACAGGGAAATTTTCTGTTCTTTTTTCTTGCTCTGTATTCCCACTACTTCCAGACCTGGGCAGCCGTCTCTTCTAGAACCTTTCACTAGCCCTTACTAGTGTGCCCAGCTGACTCTTATTCCCACTTCTCAGGCGTATCCATGAGATGTAAAGCACTGTATTTAATAGTAGTATGTGTATTTCCTTTTTTCTTGCTCTGTTTTCCTACTGTCAATCTCCCACCCCTTGAAACTATATCCTCTTCCTTCTTTGGAAATCAATTGTGGCGCTTGCTAAATACAGATTCTTAGGCACCACTTCCAGAGATTCTGATTCTGTAGGTCTGGTGAAGGTCCCAGAAACAGGCAACTATAAACAACTATTTCAGATCATTCTGATACAAGGTCTGTATACCATACCTTGAGAAACAAGTTGATATATTTCAAATGAAAAAAAAAAAATGTTTTGTGTCCTTTAAAAAAGCCCGTCAAAGATTATCTAGTGGAGAAAAAGTCTCAGAATTCCCTCATTGGGTTTCATTTATCTCCTTCTTTTCTTCTTTAATTGCTTCCTTTATTTCCCTACTACCTATTGGTCTAATATCAAAGACAGAAGGACTATTGGGACTCCCAGAACAATGGTCTAATTGGCCTCTTGGGCTCCAGGTGTGAGTGGATGGAGCTCCCTCCTCTCCTATAAGTGGCCCTTCCTCTGCCAAGACTGAGCTCTGTCTGTCTGCTGTGGGAGTGGCTCTCATCCCATCATTATCTACTTTAGTCTTTAGGCCCAAGAGTTTTGTTTCTCCATTTCTGAGATTTGAATTGAAGCATGTTTCTCCATGTCATATGATCTTAAATTAATTCTGGCTCTCAGTATCATCTCCCTAAATCCTCTTTCCCTGTCGGCCAAACTTTACTCCTCACTACTGTGGATTAATAATCTTCAAATGTTCCCCCACCTGATGTTAGTGCTCTGTCCCACTCTCATCTTGCTGTTTTTTTTTTTCTTTCTTCCAATTTTAATTAACATATTGTTTCAATAATATTTATTGAGTGTCTGTAGTATTTAGGCCCTATACTAGGCATGAGAGAGCTCTGGTAGTGTAGCACCTAAGGCACTTGACTGCTAACCAGAAGGCTGGTGGTTCAAACCCACTGGCCACTCTTTGGAAGGAAGGTTGGACAATCTACTTCTGTAGTGATGTTGTTATTATGTGCCATAGAGTTGGACCTGACTCATAGTGACCCCTTCTTGGGTTTCCGAGGCAGTATCACTATGGAAGTAGATTGCCCCATCTTCCTTCCAAGGAGTGGCTGGTGGGTTTGAACTGCCAGCCTTCTGGTTAGCAGTCAAGTGCCTTAGGCACTACGCTACCAGAGTATGTCGTCTCGGAAACCCAAGGAGGGGTCGCTATAAATCGGTTCCAACTCGATGGCACATAAGAACAACAACAACAACAACTAGGCATTTTTTTTTTTTTATCCTTATCCTATTTGAGGGAGCTCTGGTAGCATAGTGCCTAAGGCACTTGACTGCTAACCAGAAGTCTGGCGGTTCAAACCCATCAGCCACTCCTCGGAAGGAAGGTTGGGCAATCCTACTTCCGTAGTGATACTGCCTTGGAAACCCAAGGAGGGGTCGCTATGAGTTGGGGCTGACTCAACGGCAAATAACAACATCCTATTTGAATTAGAAAAATGAAGTTACCTTACTTATTAGACATCCACTTTCAGTCCCACGTCTCCATCTTATTGCTACTGCATAACCACCCCCCCCCCAATTAGGTTTTGAGGAAGAGACTAAGAAGGTATCCAGGAAGAACTCAATAGCTGTCCTGTCCCTCTCACTGGGTACAGCCTGAGATGAGCTCTCTCCAAAGTCTATGAAGGGCCCCTTTTACCTCTTGGTTCTTGAGGCGTAGATGATGGGGTTGACCATAGGGGTGAGTATAGTATAGAGGACAGAGAAGGCCTTTCGGAACAAGGGCGCCATGTGATCTGTTGGGGCCACATAGACCACAATGAGAGTGCCATAAAACACTCCGACCATGCTGAGGTGGGAGGAACATGTGGAGAAGGCTTTCTGCCTCCCATGGGCTGATGGGATTTGCAGCACAGCCCTCAGGATGAGGGCATAGGATGCCACAATCAGCAGGAAAGGAGCTAGAGTCAGAAAGCCTGAGATGCTGACACCCATTCTCCACATGACCCGTACATCACTGCAGAACAGCCCTACAATTGGAGCAAAGTCACAGAAGTAGTGGCCGATCTCCCTGATGCCAGAGCAGAGGGGCAGAGGGGCTGCTAGGGCCAGAGTGAATGCAGAGGAGAAACCACTGAGCCAGGCACCAATGGCCAGGCAGCTGCACAGCCAGGTGCTCATCAGGACGGGGTAGTGAAGGGGGTGGCAGATGGCCAAGTAAAGGTCATAGGACATGGCAGAGAGCAGGAGGTACTCAGCTGCAGCCAGTGAGGCAAACATATAGAACTGGAACAGACAGGTGACCAGTGAGATGGCTTCCTTGCCTTCCAGGAAGCTGTGGAGTAGCGGGGGCACGATGTTGGAGGTGTAGCCTATCTCCAGCAGGGAGAAGTGGCAAAGGAAGAAGTACATGGGTGTGTGGAGAGTCTGACTGGAGGCCACAGCTAGCATGATGAGGGAGTTGCCCCCAACTGTCACCATATAGATGGCTAGGAAGAGAGTGAAGGGGAGAAAGCCCAGGTGTTGCAGCTCCCCGAAGCCCACCAGGATCAGCTGGGTGGTCTGGTTCTCACTGTCACCACTGGACTGCTCCCTCATCTAGATCTGGGGTCCAAGGGAAAAGAGGAAGGTAACTAACTTTAAGCAAACTCCTGTCCATAGTGTGGCAACACACTATGCTTAGCTTATTCATTTACTCATCATAACAAGCATTGGAGATGGGCCTCCATCTTGTTTATAGAAAAGAAACTGAGACTCAGTGAATTTAAGTCAATCACCCAGGTCACTATGGTGAAGTCAGGATTTGAACCTAGGTTTGCTTGACACCAAAGCTCCTGCATAGTCTACTGCTCCACAGTGTTTTCTTAAATCCTCCCTGAGTGATAGGTATGTCAGAATCAGAAAGCAGCATAGAGCTCTTCCAATTGCCAATGAACTATTTAACCTGATAATCACCAAAGGGTGGGAGATGTGGCCTTGCCCTCTTGGGAAGTGGTCCTACTCTGAGGGCACACATGTCCCTGACACAGCCACTCATCTCAGACTACTTTCCCTTTCCAATAAAACGAAGCTTGGAAATCCAGATTAGCATTATATATCATCTGTTCTGTGAGATGTGATATGGAAAGATATGAATTAACTCAGTTCAAATTTTCCTGAGAAGCCCTTCTTTACCATTGGAAAGCAGCCTGGTGACTTTTGGTAAGGCCATTTCCTAACTAAGTCTTTTCCTAGTCTCTAGTCAGGTTGTTATAAGCTGGGGCTACTTTCTTTTCATTTGTTCTCCTGCCTTTTACTCTCCACCCAGGTCAAGTTGCTCAATTTCCCTCTTCTATCTGTGGGTTCTTTAAAAATACATACCCTGATACAAGATTCCTTCTCTTACTTACTGGAATTCTATTGTAGCCTCAAACACACAGGCCCTTAATAAATACTTGTGAGTGAATAAATGAATTGGTTAACATTATTTTCCAATAGCAACCTGCCATGGAAAAATTACAAGACCTGATAACTAATGCTTAGGCCAGAGAAAGAGACTTATTAAGAATTATTAAAAAAATGAAAGAATCTCTGTGTTTTTCCCTTTTGAAGGAATATTGGAATATTGCAATTTAGAGCTTGAGATGGAACCATGATTAAGATTGGAGGTGGAAGTCAAAGAGGAATGTGTGTGTGTGTGTGTGTGTGTGTGTGAGCACGCTTGACGGAAGAAACCAGAAAATCCAACATGATATAGTTTTCTCAGTTTTGAAATTGATAAAGATGATTTTCTACATTAGTAACGGCAGCAACAACACAGGGTTTTTCTTACCTGGTCCTACCTTTCCCTCCGTCTTTGGGCTTTGTAGTGTAGACACGCGTTCCGTTACATGGGGCAGAGATACAGAGCAATTGAATACTTCATATATACCTTAACATATTTTGTCTTCTTAAGGAGCCAGGGAAAAACTTGAATCGACAGTGAAATAAGACTCCTAGATTTAGCAGAGAGATGAAGCATGAGAAGAAATTAGTAAAACTAACAAAACCGACTAACCAATCAGCCCCAAACTTCTCAAGTCTGGACTCTGAATCAGTGCTTATAATAAAAAAAAAGTTACTATCGATACTGCTAACTAGTGAATTTGACCTTGGTCCCTGGTAAAATTCTTAAATAAATGTTTTATAGAACAATTAGAAGTCTCATAAGGGGTCACCAGAAGCAGTGCAATGCTAATTGTAATGTGAAACGTCGTAATAACCTTTATTAATAGTATCAATAATTTAGTAGATCAGGAGCAAAGAGTAGAAGAGACATAATAATTTCAGTAAAATTTCATAGACAAGACGATGATGGTGGGCTTAAAAGTTACGCTCTTAGTTATGCTAGCTATCAAAATTATTCATTAACTCTCTGAAAATCTAGGGGAAGATGTGTAGTGGAAAAGAAAAGGTTTTGTAGGTCTTGTCTTCACCTGTTTTAAGCAGTGACATGGGTAGACATAGCAAACATGCCTGACTCATCAAACTTCAGGTGACGTGAAACAAGGAGGAGAAACCAGTATTAGAGGGGACAGTTATAATTAAAAATAATCTTACTGTTTTGGAGTGCTAAACTAAGAACAAGATGAAATTTACCAGAAGTACATATAAAGTATCCATATAGACTTTAACAATCAGTTGAGTACATACAGGAGGGAAAACAACTGACTTAGAAGCCATTTATGACAAAATAATTTGTGGTTTTTATTAACTACCAAGAACTCGGACTTAGGAACTGTAAAATATGAAGAACATATGAAGAATGTGAGGATGTTTAACCTAGAAAAGAAAAAAAAAATATGAGTGAAAGAATACAAAAGCTGTTTTCAAATATCGACAGGATTCTCACAAAGAAGAGGGATTATGTATGATTATAGAAGCTCAGAAGGAGCCTGGTGGCAGGTGGTTAAAAAGATAAGCTGCTAACCAAAATGTCAGCAGTTTGAATCCATCAGCTGCTCCCTGGTAGGAAGATGTGGTTTTATAGCCTTGGAAACCCTGGGAGGCAGTTCTTTGTCCTATAGGGTTGTTAGGAGTTGGAATGGAATGGACAGCAGTGGGTACAGAAGCTCACAGAGCAGAACAAAGGAGGATGGTAGTGATGAAAATTCCATGATACCCACCTGTGTTGGTTTCCTAGAGGTAATTTTTGTGGGACTAGCTCTTGTTATGTACAGCATGTTTTTTGGGCATGAAAATAAAGAGATGCTCCTGGACATGGTTAAAATGGAGAAGATGAAGGTTCTTCCTCAACCTCCAGAAATTTTATTGGCAAATATGGATGGGCTTCATCCATTGGAACCTCCTGGAACAAGCACAAGACCTTTGAAAATATGGTAATATCTCTTCTGTATCTATTTAGGTTGAGTCAGAGGTGATCCTCTCCGTAAGCAAAGAGCAGTGTTGGTCTAGATCTAAGATGCTCAGACTTAGTGGAGAGAAGGACTGTCTTGTTTTCGGCTTGAACTTCTTTTCTCCTGGATGCTTCTAACCCTGGACTAAATTCTTCTGCCAGTTGACAGCTTTCTGGACTTTCTGCTTCTCTCCTGTGGAATCTCCATGCTATTGGCTCCCTCCCCCTCAGGGTACTCACAGAAGGCTGCTGTCCTGTAAGTGCTGCTATTGGTGAACTTTTCTAGAGCAGCACAGCGTCACGACCTTGTGGGAGTTGGAGGAGAGGTTCCTTGGGGAAGATAAGTAGCTTGGAGCCAACTGGAGAAGCTTGTATCTATGTTTTAGTTTCAGGGGAATGTTCTGGTCCACCAGGGATCACACCCAAGTATTTGACTAAAATCTACTGACCTCTTTCTCATGAGGCAGGGAAAGATTGGTAAGACATAAGAACAGTTTAAGAACATAAGAATAGCCATAATTAAAGCCAACACTTACCTAACACTTTATAATTCATAAAGCAAATAGTATCTTATTTCATAAATATCTGATGTTCAGCCTGCTGTGCTGATTCTGTGTCATTGGATGGATTATCAGGAGCATGACCTGTAAGGGCTGCATTAATAGTCCTTCTGCTCTGGCATTGGTTGGAACTCTGAGGCCTGCTTTGATTTCTCAGAAGGGAGAAGTCAGGAAAGCTATATGATTCTGCAGATAACTTGTTTTGTTTAATTTGATAGTTTTAACATTACAGATGAAAATAAAACCAAAAGACGGATAGTAAAATACAGCTGGGTGACAAATGTGAAGAGATGTCTTACTGCAGCACAGCACCGAGTTCCTGCCATCTAAAAGCAAAGACCGGATCTAGGCCAGGACAAGGGCATCCTAGGTTCAAGGCAGAGGCTGGGTTTTCCTAGTAACAGATGAGGATGGCCTTTCCTTGGAGATTTTGAAAAGTGTCTCTACTTGGCATAAAAGAGGCAGAGTGACAAATTTGGATGAGGAAAAGGTCACCTACAAGGAAGGAATTAACATATTTTATTTGGGAAGTAGTTGAGAATATTAGTATATTCTAATAACCCAAGGCTAGATCTTGGGTTGTGAAAAGAGCCTGAGGGAGATACCAGGTGAGAGAGAGAACAATAAGAGCCTTTTCTAAGTAGAAAGGAAAGCCAGTGTTTATTGACCTAGAATTTATGATAATAGTAACACAAATACTCAACTGTTGTTTGGACATATATTTTAATTTTAGCTCTTCTTCTGAAGGGTTATGTGTAAATTTAAAGAAGAAACTAAGGGTATATATATTATTTTCTATATATTAGATTATGTTTTTATATAACATATATCATGATTCATTTATTAATCCAAAATAATATTTGTTGAATGCTTACATTGTGTCAAACACTATCCTAAACTCTAGGCATATCCACCACCACCACTAGTTGCTGTCAAGTTGATTCTGACTCACGGTGACCCCCTGTGTGTCAGAGTAGAACTGTGCTCTATGGGATTCTCAATGGCTGATTTTTTAGAAGTAGATCTCCAGGCCTTTCTTCTGAGGTGCCTTTGGGTGGTGAATTTCTAAACTTTTATTAGCAACTGAGTTCGTTACTCTTTTGCACCACCCAGGGACTCCTCTAGGTATACAACAATGAACAAAACAAAATTGGTTAGTAGAGTTACATATTCACTACTCTCAGTTACCCGTGCCTTGCTGATGGGTCCAATAATCAGACACCCCCTTCATCCAGAGGCAGCTTTCCTGAATGCGGTCATCCTACCTGGAGAAGTAATTCACCTTTAGACAACTAGCCTCTCGTGTTCTAACTCACTGATGGAAACATCAGAAAATAATGGAGGAGAATGAGGAAGAACAAGATTGCAAGAATGATGCTAAAAGAGATAATTTATTGAGTAGTTCCTATGTGTTTGGTACTTTGATAAAAGTTTTACTAAATTACCTCATTAAAGCCTTGCAAGAACCCTAGGAGGTAGTATCACCATTATCTACAATTACATATTTTAGGCAACTACAGCACAGAGAAGTTGAGTACATTGTCTGGGATCATACATTTAGTAAGTTGTGGAGCCAGAATTCAAATCTGACTTTCTAGATAGTTTTGCCTCTGGATTATAGAGGAGAAAGGTAAGTAGAAAATATTATGAGAAAAGAAGAGATC